GAGTACATCTATCTCATTGAGAGTTTTTCTCTCTTGCATTGTCACTCCACCTTCCCAAGCATGATGTTCCTCTCCAAGGGCTGGTTCCTCCTTGCAACAGGCCCAAAGTGTATTAGATGAAGCTTCAGAATCCTTGACTCTAAGCATCACGACAGTTTCACCCTCTCCAGGACAAACCTGTTTGTTCTCCTAGCAGTCCATCATATATATATATATTCAGTACTCTTCTCCAGCACCACAGCTCAAAGGCATCAATTCTATAATCTCTTGTCATTGTACAGATTTCTGATATATAGCGAATAAGTACAAAGACCATGGACTGAATTAGGTGCACCTTACTCTCCAGACTGATATTTGTTGCTCTTCAGTACTTTGGAGTGGTCCCTGACAGCCAACTTTCCCAATGCAATTCATCTTTTGATTTCCTGGCTGCTGGTACCAAGAGTGTTGATTATGGAGCTAAGCAAACGGAAACTGTAAACAATCTCAGTCTCTTCACCATCTATCATGCTGCTGCCAGTTGGCCAAGTGGTGAGAATCTTTGTTTTCTTGATGTTGAGCTTCAATCTATATTGAAGGCTGTAGTCCTTGACCTTCTGGAACAAACGCTTCAGGTCCACTTCAGTTTCAGCAAGCAATGTGTCATATGGCACCCAATAGCAACAATAGTTTAAAAGAATTTCACAATAATTTCCAATTTTAATAGTTGTGTACTAGATTTTTCATCTTTATGCCTTTTTTAATGATACTGAAAGATACATTTACAAGCATCTTTTGTCCTTATAATCCTAGGTTGAAGAATCTGACAAAAATAACTTGGAATATGTAAGAAAATGTGTGCATAACAAAATTAGCATTAGCGTTATTTGTAATGCATAATCAAGAAAAGAACCAATGTCCAACAGTAGAAAAATGTCTTAAATGTTCTGTAGAGTTAACGTAATTTATTTTGGATATTATATGGAAATATATTTATCATATTTTGTCATTCAGTCACCCTCACTCATTGTCTTTGGGTTGGAACTGACAAATAACCTGCTCTTCAGCAGGTTTACAGAGGCTGTAAATTACAGGGGAAGAGATTGTCCATCTTTCTCTCATGGAATAGCTGTTAGAGTCAAACCACTTGCCTTTAGGTTGGCAGAGCAGCATCATACCCATTAGGTCGATAAAGCTCCTTTTATCATTTTATCACTATTACAGTAAATTAAAATATAGCACAATTGTTATGTGCCATTGAGTAAACAATGATTCATAGCAACCCTATGCAAAATAGCTCTGTACCTTACTCTACTGTGAGCCAATCTCACTGTCTCTACCACATCCATCCTCAGTCCCCTAATTATTATGTCAAGCCATCTCATCCAGGGTCTTCCTCTCCTGTGCTGTCCCTCCACCCTGGCAAGCATGATAACCTCCTCCAAAGACTGGTCCAATCTACCTACATGCTCAAAGTATATAAAGCAAAAACTCAAAATTGTTACTTCCAAGGAGCAGTTTGGTTTCATACTCTCCAGAATTGTTAGTTCTCTTGGCATTCTGCTGTATGTTCAATAGTCAATTCCAGCTACACACTCAAAGCCATCAATTGTTGTTGTTGTTGTTGTTATGTGCTGTTGAGTCATTTGCAACTCATAGCGACCCTTTGTACAACAGCCCAAACCCTGCTCTATCCTGTGCCAATCACACTGCCTCACACCCACCCCAATTACCCCAGTCACCGAATCAATCCACCTCATAGAGGGTCTTCCCCTCCTGCGCTGTCCCTCCACCCTCCCAAGCATTATTTTCCTCTCCAAGGACCTGTCTCTCCTTACAACATGTCCAAAGTATGTCAGATGAAACCCCAGAATCCTTGCCTCCAAGGAGTAGCCTGGTTTAACCCTCTGCAGGATGAATCTGTTTGTTTCCTTGGCAGTCTATGGTACATCCAATACTCTTCTCGAGCACCATAGCTCAAAGGCATCAATTCTCCTTCTATCCTCCCTAGTCATTGTCCAACTCTCTAATGCATAACAAGTGATTGCAAAGACCATGGCCTGTATCAGATGCACCTTAGTCTCCAGAGAGACACCATTGCTCTTCAGTACTTTGGAGAGGTCCCTAACAGCAGACTTTCCCATCACAATACGTTTTTTTTATTTCCTAGCTGCTAGTGCCAAGAGTGTTGACCGTGGAGTCGAGCAAACTGAAGCTGTGAACAATCTCAATCTCTTCGCCATCCATCCTGACGCTGCCAATTGGTCCAGTTGTGAAAATCTTTGTCTTCTTGACATTGAGCCTCAGTCCATACTGATGGCTGCAGTCCTTGACCCTCTGCAGCAAGTGCATGAAGTCTTCCTCAGTTTCAGCCATCAATTATTCTTCTATAATACTTAGCCATTTCCCAGCTCTCTGGTACAGCCCAAGTAATTGCAAAAACCATGTCCTTGATCAGGTGTGCCTTAGTCACTAAACTGGCATCCTTGCTCTTCAATACATTGGCGAGGTCCCTGACAGATTTTCCTAATACAATTCATCTTTTTATTTTCTGACTGTTGGTGCCAAGAGTGCTGATTGTGGAACTAAGCAAGCTGAAATTGTTAATAATCTCAATCTCTTCTCCATCTATCATGATGCTTCCTATTGGCCCAATCTTCATTTTCTTGATGTTGAGCTTCAATCCATATTGCAAGCTACATTTCTTGACCTTTTATGGAAACACTTCAGGACCTCCTCAGTATCGTCAGGCAAGGTTGTATCATCTCCATAGGGCAGGTTGTTGGTGAGGAAGACGCCATATGAGATCCTGCTCTTTAGCACTTGGAGACATCTTTGACAACATGTTTTTTCATATCTTTACTGCTGATGCTATTGGTGTTGCTTCTGAATCCAAGTAAAATAATTGACCTCAGTCTTCTCTCCATCTATCATGATGTTGTTAGTTGGTCCAATATGGTAATTTTTGTTTTCTTGATGATGAAATAACCCATATTAAAGGCTGTAGTCTTTTCTATTCTTCAGTAAGTGCTTCAAGTCTTCTTTAGTTTCTGCAAGCAAGGTTGTATCATCTGAATAACATTGTTTATTGATGAGTCTTCCTCCAGTTCTGATGCCACAATCTTCTTCATACAGTTGAACTTCTTGACTGATTTGCTCAGCATATAGGTTAGCATAATTTGACATCATTAACATGCACACACACACATCGAGGGAGAGGAGAGAGGAGGTAAATATTTGTTCTTGTTAAGTACTATCAAGACAACTACAACTCCTGATGAGCAACAGATCTGAACTTGACCCTATCTCCTGTCATCCTCCATATCCACTAACAAAATAACCTGTTTGGCTGTGTACAGTATATTAAAAACTCTTTGCCAACTTCACAATTCAATGCATAAATTCTTCTTCTTAGATCATTGTTATTCATTGTCCTACTTTCAGATATATTTTTGTTGTTTGTCATCAAGTTTGAACTGACTCATAGCTGATCCTCTAGTGGATTTTCAGAGGCAGTAAATTACATGAAAGGAGATTGTCCATCTTTTTCCCTCAGAGCAACTCATGGATTTGAATTGTAAGCCTTTGGGATTGCAATGCAGCAATTAACAATACTGTGCCTTCCCACAGCAGCGTTTTAGTTTTTAAACTGACATCCTTGCTCCTTAGTACTTTGGAGAGGGCCTTGACAGCGCATTTTTTTCCCAGTGCAGCACATCTTTTTATTTCATGACTGCCTCAGCATATGTTTATAGTTTTATTATAAGCAATAAAGACACATATAAATCTTTCCTCCTAAAGTGTAATACATTTTCAATCATTTAAAGTCACTTATCTGAGAGAAATGCAGAAGTTGTAGAGTAAGATGAAACCTACTTTTAATCCCAAGTATAACATTATTACCTGAGTAATTTTGGACACAGCAGTTAAGGTTTCTGATTTTCCATTTCTAAACCTAAAAAATACTACTAATAATAACGCTCCCACTGGGAATACTGTGAGGTTAACATGAGATAATGTATTTAAAGTGCCTGCCAAAGTGTCTACACAGCGTACATGCTCTAGAAATAGAATAATATCATCATTATGCTCTATTAACACTATTATTATAACTAGCTAGTTGAGGAAAGTGAAAGTGCAAGGAATCAAATGAATAAGAAATGATTTTTTTTCTTGGTAAGACATATTATTGTAGTACTTTAGTATTAAAATGAATTATGCCTTGTTGGCCCTTCTATTTCATCTGTTTTCTTCTTCACAAACTTAAAATCCTCAGCCAGGCCTTTTAATTTTTTATTTTTATTTTTATTTTTTTTACCACACATTTTCTTTCCCCTGTCATTTTGTAGCTTTATCTTCGCCCCCTATAATTTTGGCTTTCCTATTCACAGGGCTCTTATTTTCCTTCAGGTCTTTGTTTAATTATGACCTGAATATATCCAGCCACCCTAAGTGGCCGGGCTTTCATTAATGTTACCGTAACACTTGTTTGTTTGCTTTCCCCACAAAAATGTAATTCCTATGAGAACAGTGGTTCCTTTGCTTTGTTTATCATATGCAGTGCTCAGTATAATAAATGAATAAATGTGGTAAAAGCTACAAAAGCTAGAATCTTTCTAAGGCAAAAACATTTTAGTGACAGAACACTCAGATATTGTCACTAAAATCAGTGCTATAAAATTAAGATTTCATCCTGTCACGGGTGGAAAATTTGGGAGAATCAGAAATACAAGGCCATCCTGTGACCTTCCAGATGCCACAGATTTCACTTTAAAACAACAGTTGAGATCTAAGAGGTTCCATGTTGGTGATTACAGCCAGCCTGTTATTTGCCACAAATACCTCAGCATAATAATTCCTTCTGTTATAGTAGAGACCTGAAAAACCATTCATCATTTTTTGTTAAGAAAGTAAACAAGAATTAATTGTTACAGAATCACTGTAATTGCCAGTCTACCAGTGTGAGTATTTACTACTTGCTAAAAATTCATACCTGTCTTTTCCTTTTTCCTCTCCTTCAGAACGGCCACATCTGCTGCTCAGTGGATCCACAGTGCCTTCAGGAGCTGTGAAGTGAACAGTCTCACAGGAGATTTCTGGTTAAAGAACATTCTTTCATTAAAAAGACACCCCCCCCCAAAAAAAAAAGAAACACTGAAAAAATAGATAATTTGTGGGCAGCTAAGTGCAGCTTTGTTAACAGCTGACTGAACTTCCAATTATAAAATTTGTGGAGCTTGAAGAAATCACAAAAGGGAAATTCTTTTGTGAGTAAATTCTTAGGGCAAAATTAGACCACAGTTCTGCCTCTGCTGTGCCCAACATACCACATAAAAGAATGAGCGTGGAACACACACTATGGCCTCGCGACTCCTGGATATGAACCTGAATGCATCAGATCTCAGAAAACTTCTAGCTTCACTGGTGCCAAAAATCCTATTCTAGGTCAGAATCTTCACCTATCACTTGAGTTCCGCACTCGAAACAAGAGCAAACAGACAATACAACATAAAGCAGTGAATTAATTATATTTTCAGAAGCAAAGCAAAGCAGCTATAATGTGTTATGTACAGTACACACTCTGAAACAAGTTATTGTAATGATAAAAATAACACACAGGCATGGTTACTTAATATTTTCTAACAGGAAAAGTCATCTCTATTTCCTTGTTTTACTGCACTTAATATTATTTGGTTGAATTTGTTCAGTATGAGCTCGTTCTTGTGCAAAATTAAATAAATATTTCTCTTACCTTATAACACTTGTGAATTTGTGTCATGTCTGTAATGCATTCATCTTTTCCACAGGTGGTTCAATATGCACATTGTTTTCTAGTCCTTCCTACTCAAAGGGGGATTTTCATTACAGGAGAGTTCCAAGTCAGGGATGGGTGAGGGGCACCATTAGTCTGCTGCTCAGGAGTTCCTTTTCTATCCTGGGGCCAGCCCTATGTAAACTGTACTCCTGAGCTTCCTTGCTGTTTGGATTCTGCTAGGATACTGAAGGAAGTGAAGTTTAGTTATGTATTCTGCCCACCTCTGTCCTGTCAGTTGACCACCATAGTTGGCTGTGTCACTTAACAGAGGTGAGCCCCTCTGCACAACTGTCCTCTCCAGGTTTGAAGAACATTTTCCATCTTCTGGACCAAGAGCAGTAACTCTGGCTGTGCTGTCTTCAGAAGGTACCTATACCATTTCTGTTTGAGTTCTAATGATAAATTTATAGTTTTTGGAAACTCTTAAATTACCCAGCTCACCTATGCTATCTGTTATTGTGGCCAAGACTCAGATTTATACACATATAAACCAAGAGTTTATCTTTCACATCCCTATTTCCTTGATTTCTGAGCATAGAAAGAAACCTAGTGTTATAAGGGTGTCTTTTAGTATCTTTTAATTTTTTTTTTAATGCACCAGATCTTAGGAGAAAAAATGTGGACAAGCTGATTCCCCATACAGGCAGTTAACCCAAGGTTACCCCCAATGTTACCCCATTCCTGTGTTTTGTTCTCAAGTGAAAAGGAAAGACACATGATGTCAAATGATATTTTTAATACTGCATTGAGCATTTTTCTTTAAATAAAAACAGATGAATACTTGTGAATCACCACAAGCTACAGAAATGAAAAGGTGGTCTTTAACCATCCCCTCAACATTGCTATGGCAACAACTTAGCAAGAGCTGAGCTGGGGATAATTTATATATGTCTTTATCCTTTGGCATGTGTAATATTTATTGAATGTGTACATTTGAGTATCTCTATGCTTCATGGATTCATTGAATGTGTACATTTGAGTATCTCTATGCTTCATGGATTCATCATAAGCAATTTTTCTTCAATCTTTCTATATTTGAAATTTCAACAGAGCAGGAGGTTTATTTTTATCAGGTATGTTCCTTTTTTAGGGTATTTTTTTCCCATTTATATTATTGTTGTTACGTGCCATCGAGTCGCTTGTGACTCATATTGACCCTATGTACAACAGCTCTAAACCCTGCTCTATCCTCTGCCAATCTCATTGCCTCCGACACACTCATCCCGATTGTCCCAGTCACTGAATCAGTCCACCTCATAGAGGGCCTTCCCCTCCTGTGCCTGCCCTCCACCCTCCCAAGCACGATGTCCCTCTCCAAGGACCGGTCTCTCCTTACAACATGTCCAAAGTATGTCAGACAAAGTCTCAGAATCCTTGCCTCCAAAGAGCCATCCGGTTTAACCCTTTCCAGGACAATTCTGTTTGTTTTCCTAGCAGTCCATGGTATTCTCAATACTCTTCTCCAGCACCACAGCTCAAAGGCATCGATTCTCCTTCTATCCTCCTTGGTCATTGTCCAACTCTCTGATGCATAACAGGTGATTGCAAAGACCATGGCCTGTATAAGACGCACCTTAGTGTCCGGAGAGACAGTATTGCTCTTCAGTTCTTTGGAGAGATACCTAACAGCCGATTGCATGTAAGGAGACTGCCCCCCTTTTTCTGCAGAACAGCTGGTGGATTCAAACCACCTGCCTTTGAAATTACAGTGCAGCTGGCCTTTTCGAAGGAATAACAAAGAAGGTTAGTTGGGCACATTCCAGATTCTTTATAGCTCTGGAGGGCCTGCAAACCACTGCTGACCAAAACAAAACTCCTCTACTCATGAGAAGAAGAAAAATAATACTGCTCTTCCAAGGACCACTAACACAATGAATGTGTTCAGACTGAATTTTCCTCCTTCAAGGTTTATCCTATAAATTCTCTCCAGGAGAATTGTGGTTTTATTTGCAGATTCTGCCAGAGCAATCAATGACTTCTTAAGAACTTTGTTCCTTGAAGATGGGGTTAATGTGCTGTTTCTCACGCTGGTGATAATTGGCAAAATGCCAACAATAAATTATGCCAATGCTATGGGAAAGTGAGAACTAAGCAGCGAGAATTTAGTTTGAGCATGCTTGGTTCATTTAAGGGCAGCCCTCAGTGGAAATGATTTTTACTCCATTCCATTTATTTTCCCCCTTTCTGAATGCAAAGAATATTTAATTGTGAAAACTAAGGTTTTATATCATGTTATCATACTTCTCCCTTTTCAAAAACTGTCATTTTTTTCCCAATGAAGAGTCACGTGTTGTTCAATAATACTGTAATGTCATAGAGCACCTTCCATTCTCCCAGGAACTTGCTCATTTATAGCCAGTGCAGTGAAACTCTTTAACTACCATGCTCAAAATAACAACATATCAAAGCGCCAAGACGGCAGTCAATACTCTGAGTGTTGGGGTAGCAGAAACTTCAGTTGAGCAAAGCTGAAATACATGTACTGAGTAACAGATGAACTTGAGTTCACCAGCAGTGTCTCATCTCTCAAAGCCTTGTGTTGTTCACTAGGTAGGAGTTCCTCTGAAGGGAATAGATCTCAGACACCTGCAAGGGCCCAGCACTTAACCACTGATGAACTGGTTTTGGAGAAACAATTTTTCTTTTTTCGGATATAGAGCATTTGTGGTGTACTAATAAAAGGATCTGGGAGAAAGCCATGCCAAAAAACTCAGGACAATAAGGGCACGCATATGCTCTGCATACCCCTTCCCACTGTGGTACCAGGATATGCACCCTCCGCTGTAGGCCTGCTGAAGTTACACTGGCTTATTTTGACTTTTCTTTATTGAGGCACTGATTTCTGTCGTAGAATTCAATGCAGCCTATGAAGAAAATGCCACCTCTTTGCAAAGTAATGCCAAATGTGATGTTGGAGAAAAATACTGAGTATTCCATGGATTTCTGAAAGAATGAATATATGTGTCATAGTAAAGGTGTAGTGAGAGTACTCGTTAGAAACAAGGAGGTGAAACTCTCTACTTTTGGCATGTTGCTTGGAGAGACTATGCCTTGGGAAGGGATATAATGCTTGGACAGGTGATGGGTCAGTGAAAGAGAGGATGACCCCAAATGAGATGGATTGATATATTGGGCTTATGTGTATCAGAGACGATGAGGATGATGGTATATGATAGGACAGGATTCAAGTTGTTCATTGGGTTGCTCTGAGTTGTAATCGACTTACTGGCTCCTAAGAGCAATAGGCCTTTGAGCAGATAGGTAGGGATGTCTTAGACTATGGTGATGTGCATGTGGAGTAAAATAGTGTCAGAAAATGCAAGAATTGGAAAAGTTTAGAATAGGCTTAGCTGAGTTAATCATTCTTTTGTACAAGGTTTTTGCCAAAAGGCCTAGGCAATTCCCACAAAACTATTTGTCATTGTACGGGGGCCAAATTATTGTTCATAGAGATTATTTGCATCAAAGATTCTGATTTTTTAAAAATCTGAGTGACAGCACAAAATATTACTGTGAACACCAAAGTATTATATCTAAAATATTCTCTCCTACATATGTCTAATGTTCAGTGTTTAAAAAAAAAAAACCACTAACAGTAGGACTACATTTTAAAGAAGAAATTATATGAATAAGATTAATTTTTAGTAACTTTTTCTTTCACAGAACCACAGCTATAAAGAGAGACAAAATCATAGGAAATGTAATCTTCTAAAAAATATTAAGTATCAATATTTTAAATATATATATGACAAATCTATGATACAATTTTAAGCAATTTCTGAAGAAAACACATAATTGCATAGAATTTTAGAAAATTACATGCATAGAATTCACATGTAATTGAGGATGCAGAAAATTAACAGATAAATAGTTTTAATGCCTGGTGTAATAGCTGCTATGCAAGAAATTTATGGTGGTCTGGGGTAAAGAGATAAAGACAGGAGAAATACTTTAGGTAGGACAGGCAGCAATTCCTGAGGAGGTGTAAGAGCACACGTTTGAATGGAGAGAGGGGCCATCTGCATGCCTGAAGAAAGCAGTACAAGGAGAACAGAGTCTATGCGGGTCTTAGCACACATACCTGTGGTTCATAGACTGAGCAAGCAGAAATGTTTAGAAGATGTGGTTAGAAAAAGTGGCTGATAACGAATCACATGTGGCTTCCTGAGCCGTGGTTAGATATATGGATTTTATTTCAAGCCAGATGGGAGTTGTTGGAATATTTTAAGTTAGTTTGCAACACTAAGGGGTTCATTGGCTGTGGTGTGAAGAATAGATAGTCAGGAGGGTGATCACTTTGGAAGCAGGAGGTGCACTGAGAGAGGATAAATGTCAGTGTCTTAGAATAGGTTGTAACAGCATTAACGGCAATGAGGATGAGAAGTGATACACAAAGTGATTGAATATTTTAAAAGCTGTAATTCAATTAAAAAATAGTCAAGAAGATTAAATTCTCTTGAGTAGTTCTATTAGAAGAGGGTTACATTAAAATGATCCTAAAATATTATAGGAAAGCAAAATGGTCAATAATAGCAAAGGGAATTTTGTAAAAAGATCACATTTGGACACAGGGGAGACCATATTTCAAAGGAGGATAGAAGGAGAATTGATGCCTTTGAGCTGTGGTGCTGGAGAAGAATATTGAATGTACCATGGGCTGCCAAGAAAACAAACAGATTCATCGTAGAGAGGATTAAACCAGGCTGCTCCTTGGAGGCAAGGATTCTGGGGTTTTGTCTGACATACTCTGGACATGTTGTAAGGAGAGACAGGTCTTTAGAGAGGGACATCATGCTGGGTAGAGTAGAAGGACAGCGCAGGAGGGGAAGACCCTCTATGAGGTGGATTGATTCAGTGGATGAGTTTGTCAGAGGCAATGAGATTGGCACAGGATAGAGCACGGTTTAGGGCTGCTGTACATAGAGTCACTATGAGTCACAAACG